CACAGTGAACTGAACGCTCGTGCACGTAGCGCGGCTCAGGCGAGGCAGTGGGCGTGGCTTCGACGTGTCTCGTCATCTTTCCCAGCAGTCAGAGAAACTACACGCTGACTGACAGCAGCATTCAGCCAATTAGCGCGACTTTAACCACACACTCGCATCGGATTGGCCAGGGCGGGGTCACATTGTATTTGTTGTTGTTTTCGTTGAGGAGTCGACAAATTTAAACCACCGATGTTTTCTTCGTTACTCGTGTTAAAGTCGTTCGTTTGAGACAAACTCTAATAACGTTTTACAACAAACAGACGACGAACGACTTGGACCTGGACTATTTTCCCGCTGAAGCTTCTGTCGTGTCCTTCCCTAAGGTATGAGCGCAGCCGTTGTTTCGTTAGCTGCTGACGTTAGCGGCCTTGTTAGCTGTTGTTTCTCACGATTTTAATTCGATATATAATACAGTGGGAAAACAGACTGCATTTTAACTGTTTGCTACATGTATCACAACACACTCCCGTCGATCTCCGTTTGTAAACAAACCAGTGACGTAATCGACCGAGTCCAATGCTATTTTAACGGCATTAAATATGTATATAATTTATATATTTAGTGCTGTTTTTGGGTGACGACGACCCCTTGAATCTATGTGTCGTCGTTGTTGTTGTTGTCGTCGTCGTCGTCAGATGGGCAGTCACTACAAACGTTCAGTGCCGTTGGAGGTGAGGAGGGCAGAGGGTGAGAGAGTCCGGGCCAAACATCCTGACAAGATTCCAGTAAGTCATCTTCAGATTTACCCTAAACCACTTGACCACATCAAGAATTAAAATACCTGGAGCTGTCAGTCACAACAGCCTCAGGCTTTGGCTTAAAAATAAGCTTTTGTCATTTTTATTTTATCTATTTTTTTAACAGATCATTGTAGAAAGGGCGCAGAGATCAAGAGCCCCTGACCTGGACAAGAAGAAATACTTAGTGCCCTCAGATTTAACAGGTAAAACTAAAACTACGAGGAACCAGAGCGACTACAGACACGTTAGTGCTGGTTCTGTCAACGTCAGCAGAGTGACACAGATAAACTGAGGGGTCTTTGGTAGTCTGAGGGTCACACTGATAAATATCAGTGTCAGCCCTACTGCCGCCACCTGGTGGTAGTACCACATAACTTCTTACTAGGTGGCAGTATCAACACTGTATATGATATGATTCATTTGAAGATGAAAGCATTTCTTGGAATTGATCACCAAGCCTTAAACTGTTTTTCTTCCCAGTTACATGACGTCAGTGAAGGGGGTGAGTCTCACTCACCCTTTCTTTCTCCCCATCTTTCCTTCCTTTTTCAGTGGGCCAGTTGTGCTTTCTCATCCGTCAGCGTGTGTCTTTGAGACCAGAGGAGGCGCTCTTCTTCTTTGTCAACAACTCTCTTCCCCCGTCCAGCTCCCCCCTCTCTGCTGTGTATGAGGTGAGTGTCCACTCGTCCTCCCCCACGTCCAGACCAGACCGACTGGTAGCTGCAGAACAACAAGCACAGTCACAGAAGTTAGCGTTCCACTGCCACTGATGTGCATCAGTTTTCAACCTTTTAGAAATATTTATTTTTACACTAAAGAACAATAAAAATAAGAGACTAAATGTCAACAAAGTGCTGGTCAAAGAGTTGAACCCAGGTCTGTTGTTGTCACTGATGAACAACAGATTAGACCAGAAAAGGAAACAAAGATGCGTCTGTCCACAGCGTTCAGAGACGACGTCTTTAACCAATCATGGATGAATCTGGTTTTTCAGCAGCTGATTTAACAGCTCACAGATTGGAACTAAAATAAAAACTTGAGCCATGATTCACTCTTCAGCGTTCTTTTGGTCTAAATATGACTTCTTCTCTTGTGTTACAGGAGCACCATGAAGACGACCTGTTTCTCTACATGACCTACAGTAACGAGAGTGTGTACGGTGCCTGATGGAGGACCAGAGTCTGGACCAGAGTCTGGACCAGAGTCTGGACCAGAGTCTGGACCAGAGACAGAGACGGTATGATGGTCTGCACAGCAGAACCAAGGTGCTGGTGATCATTATCAACAGTATCTGCTGTGATTGGTAGTGAACGTTGACCTCTGTCAGTATTTTAGGATTGGGTTGAGATGGAATTTTTTACGCCTCATATTATGTTGATTATTTTTATGGGGAAAGAAGAACGAGGGAATTGGACGAAGACAAAAAGGATCGTGTTGAGATAAATGGATGTTTTGGGAACTCTCACTGTCTTTCTCCATCATTTGTATTTAATGCAAATAGTTTTTTGTTTTACTTTTTTTGTGAATAAGCAGTAAACGAAGATCAAATGTAAAACCTCAGCTTTTCTCATTTCTTTTTTACGGTGCATTTCTGTCAACAACATAAAGACAACGATGTCATTGGCTCAACAATTATGAACAACACGTACAGTTACAGATGGACAGTGACCCCCCCCCTTAAAAAAACCCAACTACCATCTACTGTAAATGTCCTTTGGAGGAAGCACAGAGACAGAAGTGGTCTGTCCTAACTGGACACTTTCAGTTTCCTGCGCTGCTTTAAGAGCTTCGCAGCTCAATGGTCAGATGTGATTTGATCAAACAGAAGGTTAGAAGAAGAGTGAGGAGCCATGGAGATGAACGAGATCCAAGCAGAGAAGAAAGGTGACAGAGAAAAGCAGAATGAATACGAGCTACATCTGGACATCAAACCTGAAGGTACGAAATCATTTGGACAGAAATGGTCAGAATGATGGTAAAAGTTCATTCATTCATTATTGCTGTATTTGTGTTTGTATGATGTACAGTAGGAGGATTTGAATAGAAGTCCAGTTCGTCACTAAAAGGTTCCCAACAGTTTTCTCAAAATTTATTTAAAATCTACTTAGAGTAAGTGTTACTTAATTACTTTAAATTATTTACAGCAAAAAGGACGAGTTTTACATCCAATCTGCAACTGGTTGTTTTTTTAATCACCAATTCAAATTCAAATGCTCTGTGACAACGTATTATGTTGGATGATGTTTATCGGCCTCAACATTTAACAACACAACAACCTGTTATCAATTTAACGTCACAGTTAATGCAAATTCTCAAAGTCCTGCAAAGTTTGCATGACCAGTCCAAATGCCCACCATATATGTGTGTGTGTGTATGTATAAATACATACACATAATGAAATATGCACGGACCCTGACATCCACTAGGGGTCAGCATGCTCCAGAAAACAAAGCCAGAACACTGTCGGTGGGTAAATATGTGGTTATACAATCTGTATTACACTAGATGGCGCTGCTGCTCCATCACGAAACAAACCAGTCACAGTCCGCCGGCTGCTGGTACTTTGTAGACGCGGTGTACATGTAAGTACTTCGTCACTTCAGGTACATGTGTTTGTAGGATATATATATATATATTTACTGTTGATGATCATTTTTGTCTTAGTGAACTCTTTCATCCGCCCGGACCGAGCACAGCAGCGCCTCCTCTGGTTGACTTGGACTGGTGTCCCTCCACACACAGGTACACGAGTACGTCTGTATCAAGTACCTTTATGAAAATTAAAATGTTAAGAGCAGTTTAACTTGATTAATATAGCATCAGCTAGCATTAGCCTCAGGACTCGGCACTTCCTCCTTGTCCTGATGGTAGAACCTGTTCTGGAGTTCAAAAGTAAACGCAGACACATGGTTGTGTAAATGTTAAACTGTTTAACTTCCTCTGCTGTGTAGCAGTCAAAGCAGTGTGTCCTAACTAGTACAGTGTGTCCTAACTAGTACAGTGTGTCCTAACTAGTACAGTCCTAACTAGTACAGTTAGTACAGTGTGTCCTAACTAGTACAGTACATCACCACAGAGTTCAGAGTGACTTTAACTCCTTCTCTTCTGGACAACAACAGACTGGAAATGGATCACATGTACAGCTAGTTTTGACTGGTCTGGACAAGTCCTGGTCTGGACAAGTCCTGGTCTGGTCTAGTTGTAGTCTGGACTTCATGGCCAAGTCCTGGTCTGGACAGCTAGTTTTGACTGGTCTGGACAAGTCCTGGTCTGGTCTAGTTGTAGTCTGGACTTCATGGCCCACATCTACAGTATAGTCTGAAACCTACATTTCTTCCAACAACAACATGTAAATCTGTGGAGGAACTTTGGGAGGCGGCCTCAGTCGGCAGGAGGTTTTCAGAGAACTTGTGGAATTCCAGAATAGGATTTAGGTGGAGTGAGTGGATTATGGACGGAGCTGCTGAAGAATTAGTGAGGGCTCCCCCTTTTGTTTGCCTCCCACTGAGCCGGTCTTATGATTTCTGCGTGACCAGGCTTTGTATCTCGACCATATGCACATAGCCTTTGTTCTCGCGCCCCCGGGGGTCAACCTAGGGGCCAAGAACGGAAATGGCAACCGCACCAGCGGCAGAGCGGCAGTGGCGTGGAGCGGCAGCTGCACGGAATCCTCCTTTTATCTCGCAAGGCGTGATCTCGCGATATTGATTCCGTTTTTATGTTAGAGCGACTTCGTCTGATGAAATTAGCACACAAGACGTTTGTGCTGAGTGGATGCTGAGTGACAGATAAGACCAGCTGTTTGTAGGCACTGTTCGAAAGTTAGTCACGTGTGGCAGGAGATATTAGTTAGTCGTCCAAACCAATCAGAGACCAGATCAGTCTGGACGTTTTAGAGAAACCTTCATTTTAACCTCATCGTGACGTTACGTAAAATGTGTAAAACAACGTCAGCGGGATCATTAACGTAACAATCGAAATAGTCTGTTTTTAGTGTGAATAGAGTGAATTGTTGTGAAGTGTAATAAACTCAATCAATTGTTTAACCCTTTAATTATTCAGCTATGGAGTGTGTTTGAATTTTGTCTGAAAAAGTATTAAAATCCAACAGTGATAAATGGACAGAGTTTTTTTTTTTTTTTTCTGACTCGGTGTTGCCGCCTCTTCCACCCGTGTCTCTCCTCTGTACGCGGTCCACAGCACGTCCTCGAGCGGAAACACGACCAGAATGACAGGCAGTGAGTCTACGGTGTTTGACGACAGCGGCAGTTCCTCCGCTGTCTGCGCTCGAGTGACGGGGGGATAAAAGGATAAAAGCC